TATTTGGTGTTTCACATTATTAAAATAGGCAGTTATAAGAGTAAGGAAGGGAGTCTCAAGTATTCATCTTTGCGAGTGGCTGTGGTCCTTGACCCCTGCAGATACCAAGGGTCCGCTGCACTTTGTTTTATTCATCATTTCGGATTTATGGCCCACTAACGGTAACAGGACTCTTGCAACATTTCTCCATGTTTTTCCCTCCTTCTGCTTTTTTAAAGCATATGATGAATAAAAGCTGCCCCTCATTCGGAAGGTCCACACTGTCGACAAAATGATAAAGATGGATCAATTGACGAATATCCGGCAGTGAAACAAAAGGTTCCAGCTTTATTTTTTAGGTTGTTATGGTATTAATATTAGATCAGAGGTGCAAATACACACCTTCTGTACAGACTACCATTTCATCCCTGTACGTTCTCCTTTCATTTTCTACAAGCCAGATATGTTATTCAATAGCGGATGTCAGTCCTGTAGTCTTAAAGGAAAAACAAAGATATTTTCTTGGTTTTGATGTTTGTGTTGATGGCTTAACTGTTTCCAAATGTGAATTAAAACATTTGCAGTCTTTTACCCTTTACTCAATGGAAAAAGTGTAAAGCACTGACCAGGGTTTGTGGTTTTAAATAGTTCTGATTGCTGATTGACGTTCAGTTATTCATTAAGCTGACATCCTGGCAGCTGTGCTAGTCACAGATTTAAAAAAAATAATAGTTTTTGTGTGTTGAGCATAAACATTGACAGGTTGGTGTGGCTCATAAGCAGTGACGTTGAAGAGAAAGGAGCGTGACTAAAAGTTTTTGCTCAGGAGAGTTTTATTGCTTAGTTATGTAAAAACATAAGGAAGTAGAAAGGCTAAACAACTAAATTGTTGTCTGAAGGGTACTGTGTTTTTTCCGCCGTCTCCACATTTTTCCAGGCCCCGTACCGCAGTGTGTTTAACAAGTGCTACAAGTAAGAGGCAACTGCGGAGAGAGCGCTGTGACAAATAGCAGCAGATCATGCAGAAAATGTGCAATGCTAAACATCAGTTACTGCACATGGGAGAAATGGTGTGTTTGTGCAGTGTTTGCTGTCCAAGGAGTTCTGGAGGGGTAATGGAAAAAAAAAAAAGAAAGAGTTGCTCTCACAGCTGGGGACTTGCAATTGAATACATGGCTTCATTTTAACTGTTAAAAAAATTATGTTGAGGAGGGCAGAAAATGTTGCTGGGGTTTTGAGTTTCTTTTGATGTGCCCTGATGACGATTATGAAATCCAATAAAAACTAATTAGGAAATTAGGTGGCAGATCAATAAAGTTTGCTCCAGTGGAGCATGCTGTGTGTGTGCGAGCGTGTGTGTGTGTGTGTGTTGGTCAGTTTCATGTTGCCCAGGGAATGTGTTGCAGCTCTGACCTGGCCAAAGCAATTGTTACTGATACTCCTCTGTGGATTCAGGCTGCTCTACCCTCATATGGCTCTAATTTATATTTTGTTGACTCCTGGTTTCTTCCTCTATGTGTAATCTGATTCAGTAAGTTCTCAGTTTGGGTAATTTTATCCTTCTAATGTTGCACTTAACATACCCTGAAACCTCTTTATTGCACTTTATTGCTTCAGCTTTGCATTATTTACTTCATTTATATATTTAAAACTGAATGGGCCATCAAAAAAACAAATGACGTAGTGGTGTTGCACTCAAAGGAATGTAATGCCATCTTGGTTTGGTTTCTCCTTCTAATAATAGTGAGGCTACTTTTAGAAATCTGGTTAAACTTAATAATTTAAGCACAATTCAGTGTTTCAGAATGAGTAAGATTGTCTTTTTAAAGTCAATATGCTGTATCTGAATAATTTAAATCAATACCACCTTACTGATATTTTAAAACAAAACGGGAACTAAATTTTTAAGATATGTGTTTTTAAAAGTAACACAAAACAAAGAACAAAACCCCTGGCTCTTTACTATTGTTTGGCCAGTGGATGTAACTTTACATTTACTTTATAACTCTGAAATTGAGTTTGATAAAGTCCTCTTCAGGCAAAAGTGCCCCGAAGTGGGATAGGCGGAGAATGTTTCACAAACCTTTACCTCAAAATCTAATATGTCTGCCAGAAAGTGTACTTGCACTTCTGATGGTTTATAGGTTACGACATCTTTCGCACAAATTCATACTGTGCATCTTCTTTTCATGTTGAAATGCATGAAATCTAAATATATGTTTTTTAGTTTTGGTTTGATTCTTGTATCTTTATTGAAATATCTGCTGATGCTGATATTTTTTTGGTCCTGATCAGCGTAGTTTTTGTTGAATGTCAACTACATAGCTGGAAGTTGTGTTCATCCCTTCAGTTGTTTAAAGGTGTATTAAAAAAGCAAAGGAGGCAAATGGACTTAAACATACTGATACAGTCTATCAGTATTTTTAAAAAGATGTCACGCTCAGCTGTTCACTGTAATGTCCATTGCTCTAAGCACTTATTTTGTTTTTCCTGATTTTTAACATATTTTCTGCAGGAGGTGAAGCTGGGAAGCAGGGTGAACACTTTGCACCAGTTGCACTCTCTACTGAGCAAATCTCTGCCAATCGGAAAAAATATTTTTGAGCATTTTACTAAATTACCATGTGTATATCATTTATGTATGCAACATTTTTCATGACAGATGTCTTACTCTTCCAGAATGCCAGTGAAAATATTACCTGCAGCAACAAAACACTTGGTCTTCTCTTGATTGTTGGGTGGATCACTGATCAAGTTCAATGTCTGATCCAAGTGTCACCTTTTACACAAACATTGACTCAAATTGGGCCCATCTTGAGAACAGTAAAATTCATATTGATGATATTTTACCTTTCCAAAATATGAAAGGCCTGTCTTACATCTGTTTAACTTTGTATAGATCCATATTCCAGCTTCATGTGTTAAGTGATACCAGGATTTGTTCCTTTGTACACTTGTGTCCATTCTGGATGTTCTTCATATATTCTCCACTGCAGTTTTTAATGTTTGTTTTTTAAGGAAGCTGTACATAAAATTAACTTTCATGTTTTGAAAATTTGATACCAAAACTACTTCTAAGTATTACCAAAGGCACCACCAGGTGCTCTAGTGATATTTTAGAACCTCAGGCTTTGATCATTCTGGAGCGCAGCAGAGGTTAATCCGTGCTGGATTTACTGTTTACTTTATTGGTCAATGGGTTAGATCTGCCCTGCAGTATAATAATGAGTTACCATTCCAGGCCAAACCAACATGATATCGTTCTTTGGACAGTACCATCCTCTTCCCTCTTCTCTGTCTGACACCCCAGTCTCCTTCTTGGCCCTTTTTTGCCGCCCACCCTACAGGATGGAAGGGCCTTATTTAGCGGCCGGACTCGTCTGTGTCCGCGACCGGCGATTTGTCCTTGTCTAATTACGGCTGCTGGCTGCTGCCCGTGTGCACATGACTAATGGAGCGGCCGGGAATTGGGGGGTGGAGGGTTGTGAGGTTACGGGCAGGGAGGGGGCAGCGGGGGAAGAGGAAGCAGTGGACGAGCAGCTCAGCCGCTGGTGATTTGTGGACCAGGCACTCTGTCATTGCCCTGCGCCCATTTGTCTTCAAGAGCAGTTGGGAAGAAGAGGGGTGGAGATGGAGAGGACGGCTGGGGTGGGGGCTCCAGGGCAGAAAATGGTTTACAATGACTTCCATTTTCCAGCACTTTCATCCTTGGCCGTAGTCGTCTGCATGGCTTGCCAGAGATGGGATGGAATGGGCGGCTGAGGTGATGTAGGATATGACAGAAACCTTGACAGCTCACCGCTGCTATTTCTTTTTAGGGGGCCAGTGTGATGGCCACCCTCCCTCTCCCTTGAAAGTGAGCCTTATCTGTTTTCTCCCTGTCATGTGGTGAGAGTGGAGGATTCAATGCTTCGTTGTCTGGAGTCAAACTTTGAAGACGAATTTTGTCTCTCATGTCTCTGGCTAAGGACATACATCATCTACAGCTTGGACTTTGACGATTGTGTTTTGTGTTTCTTTTAACTGTTTAGGGCCCAGTATACTGTCTGACCCTAATGATGACCAAAATCATTAACAGTCAGCTGGTTAATTCCATACAAAAAGAGCACTTTTGGCTCATCTCCTCCTCTCTGCTGGCTTTCCCTTTTCTAGAGTTTCCCTCTGGTTATGTGCAGATTGCAGAGGACACCTGCATCCTGTCTTCACCTGGGATTCTTATTAGGCTCCAGGTCATATTTCTTCTGCCGTTCAAACAAAAAAAGAGCAGCAGCAGGGCAGGAACTGCTAACTCTGTATTGATTTTAAGCAGTTTTTTACCTGCCCCCCTTTGCTCTTTCTCCAGGTCTTTTTAAGTAAATAAACACCAGATTTGTCATGTTTTTCCAGGGAGAGGAGGGGGTCGATGGAAGTGGTATGGGGCGGTAGAGAGAGGCCAGGCCCGAGCTCAGGCCTAGCGCTGGGTCAGCCATGATTCATTTTGCCGTCTCATGGATGGAGGGATTCGGGTAGGATTGTTGAAGGGCGCCTGTGGAGCCACTCTGTGACCTCCCTTGCTCCTGTTCCTCCCCTAACGCTCCTGGGCAGCTCTGGTCCTAAATCACACGCTGTCAGTGGGTTGGCAGAACAATGGTGCAGGGTCTTCTGTTCCATCTCAGGCTCCAGCCCACTGGACATGGCTTCCTCTATCGTTAGTGTAAGCTTGTACCCTCTCTGGTCCTGCCTGGCCTCTGAAGCCCACAGGGCCTGACGAGGCGAGGGACCAGGCAACTTGGCGCGACCGTCTGAGTTGCTGTGGACAGTTGCTTTGAGAGGAGGGAGGAAGAGATGCATTTGTTCACACACAATCCCTTTCTCTGTTTTCTTTTTATATTTTACAAATTTTTAGTCAAAGTTGTATTTAAAGGCAGTTATTGACGATGAAGAAGGTCATGGCAGAAATACAGACTGATCTGATAAATAACAATTTCTACAGTTGTCAGAAGATCTCAATATTTGTTTCACAGCTCTTTCTGTATCCGCAGAGCACTGACTGTGGGATAGTGGAACTGCTTCTTGTAACCAACTCTCTCCCTGGACGGGAGGAAGAAGACGCTTTCACAAATGGAAATCTTGTAAGCCATATTTTCGATGCCCAAGTTGGTTCTGCTGCTTGATTTAGGAAATAAACAATAAAAAAGAGCTTTAACAATAATAGTAAGTTTAATTAGTAGTGGAGTAGCATGGGTTTATAGCTCATTTGCTTGTTCAGTAATGGCTGTCACTTACTGAATGCTACTCAGTGCTCTCTGCATGGGGCTGCACTCATAAACACATTTTTTAGGTGTATTCATAAAGTATCCAATGCTTCCCATAAAGTGCTGCTGGTAAGCACCAGTTAGAGAAATGCAAGTTGCATATATAAAGATTAGTGATAAATAGACTAAGGTTTGTGTTAAGTGTCTTTCAATATATATTACAACATATATTGGAATGCTTATTGTATTGTTTTGTTGTGGTACGTTTGTTGTCTTTACAGCTGCAGGTCTTTTACTGTATGCCACTTCCAGCTTTGCCCAGCCAGAGATTTAGTTTTTTGCCAAATTTTTCTGAAAGGTCAACTATGGTGGACCCCTAAGATTCGCATCGATTAGGGACCACAACTATTCATGGATAGCTGAAATCCATGAATACCTGAAACTCCCTCTGAAAAAGCTTTTAACTGCCTATTTTAATCATTTGAAACACCACATACACCTTAATGTGCATTGCTCTGCACAGTGGAAACTGTTTTAGCACTACCACAGTAGCTAACATCTACAGTCTTCCTTATCTCCACTCTAGAGGGTATAGCCAGTCGGTGCCAAATTGAATGGGGCTCCTAGATTGGCACCAACCAATAGTGCATCAAGTAGCGCTGTGTCAGGGTATTTGTTTCCAAAGCTGCATTTTCTGTCTAATATTTTATATATATTCTCCGAAGAAATCCCCATATATGCGAGTTATGTTCCACAGACAAATCTGTAAATATGCGAGGGTCCACTGTGGGGCTGTTTTTAACCAGACAATCTTTTGCCATATTTCATATGTGGCTTGAGAAACTGGTGTGTTTTTTATTGGCTTTCTTATTCCAGCACTTTAATAAATGCTGACAAATTGTCCCACCTCAGTGAGTCTTTGCAGCTCCTCCAGAGTCACTCTGGTCCTCCTAGTTGCTTCTCTGAATAATGCCCTCATTGCCTGGTTTTGTCAGTTTAGGTGTTCAAAGTTCACAGTTGTTTCTAACTTTTCTACTGACCTTTTTGCTGTGTTCCTCTATTGTCATGATACACTTTGTTCACTAATGTTCTCTAACAAACCTCTAAGGCTTTCATAGAATCACTGTATTTAATAAATTACACTTAGATGGACTCTGTTTACTTTAATTTAGAAATTGCGGTACCTTTTATTTAAGAAGTATAATGGAAACTGCAAATGCACACCACACTTTTCAGATTTTTACATGTTTTCCACCCAATTTAAAATGACAAATTATGTAAATTTTATGATGTTAAATCCGTGACCACTGAAGTTTTCTTTTTTTTTTTGTGACAAAATACTGAGGTTGAAAAAGGCTTGTTTTGTTGATAAAAGATGTTTGTTTGCAAGGATAATGATACAAATTATTTTACTAAGTGGTCTGATAGGTATTTTTCTCAAACCTACATAAAAAGACCACAGACAACGTATATGAATTTTATAGACAAAGCTTTTGCAAAAGGAGAACTCTCCGCCACTGCCTGACAGGCCGTTCACAGAGAGTTCTGGTCTGCTTTCGCGTGAGCCCCTGTTTTATTGTCAAGCAGAACAGCCAGAAAAAAACAACAAAGGTCGTAAAACTTCTAACCTAAACAAACCAGCAACTCAGTTCCAGGTGTGATATCTGATCTACGATCTGAGCCCAGTTCAGCTCTAGGTCAAACTGTCAACAAAGAGGGAGGATAAACAAGAGACAAAATTCGACTACTCACAGGCAGTTAGGAGGTATTCTGGTTGATAAGAATTAAGGTCTGGGAAACACAGAGTTAACTGTTACACATGAAGATGAAACAGTCAGTCGTAACCTCCAGGTCAGTTTATACACACATAAGGAAGATTAACATTAGACTGAATATGAACTAAAGTAATAACAAAATGATAATACCAGATGGAAGTTCAAACATTATAGAGAAAACCTTGTTGATATAATGAGACTGTACCCAACTGCTTGTTTGCATCATTCAATATTTAAGACTGGAACCATTTAGTGGAAATGTTCCAGATCCATAGACATTTTAAAAGCATGAACATAATAAGTCTCTAGAGAAAACATGAGTAAGTAAATGTGTAATTAGAGTTCAGATTTGAATGTAAGTGCAGTTGAAGACTATGAGTTTGTTTTTAGCAGAGCATTTACAGACAAAAGCATTGCACTAAAATAACATTAAGGCTGAGGTCACTGTGGTGTGAGACAGATTACTGTTGTTAAAAATTACTGCGGCCTCGAGAAAATCACCCATAGAGTTCTGGGACCTAAACATGAAGAATTGTTCACCTGGACTGTAATCCTTCCCCGAACCTCATCTTCAAAGTACAGTGAGGTCATCTACTCACAGGTAATGAGTTGATGCCTGCGATCAGTGGATGATGTTTTTTTTTTTCCCCCCCATCTTCTGAAATGCATGTGAACATGGCTAAATAAATACATGCCATTTAGAAACTTAGTCAAATGGAAGATTTTTTAGCTCATTTTGATTAGTTTATGGGATTGTAGATAATTTATATACTAATGTTAGTTTCGTGGTGTGCTTGAGGTGCTTTTATTCTTCTAATCACAACTTCCTCATTACCTCCATCTTACAGCTTTTAATTAAATAGATTTTACATCTAAAAATGTTTCATTGAAACTATTTTAAATATGGTACAACTGTTATTAATTGTAATTAGCTACAAAAATTTATTATTCTAGTTGCAATACAAAAAAAATAAGCGTGTGGTAAAAATAAAAACTAAAACATCACATCATGGTGACTTATTTATTTTTTTTTTTACATTTTGTTTAGTAAGAGTCAGAAAAAGTGGACATTTTCTGGTGTGTTATTGCACCTGAAATCAATAGTTATGCTGATTATATAACTTTTTGCTCCCAGAAACTGATATAATTAGTTAAAACGTCTAAAACTAATTGTTGTGTTAATTGAATCCAAACATAATCTTTAGCAGCTGTCATGAATGACTTTATTGAGTTTTTGTTTCAGTCACTTGTTTTGCTTTCACCCTTTCCCTGCTGATCTCAGTTTTTTTTTCCCCATGACTGTTTGATTTGCCCTCTGCGTTTCACTGTTTAAAGTCAAGAGTCTGGGGTCAATCCATCAAATCTCCTAACTGAGGGGGCGATCAATATGTCAGCAGCCCAGTTCTCCCTCGGCTGTTATGATGATGTCCGTGGTACTGCGCCGGCCTCGGCTGCCGCCGCTACAGTGCGCTGAACAGGGGATCGAACTCTGCCTGTCAGGGGGCCTGACGGAAAGCATGAATCATTATTACCGGACCTGCTGTTTGCTCCCCGGTGCTCGGCAGAAGTGCAAACTACGATGCTCTGTTGACAGTCCAAACCTCACACTAGCTGATGCACAAACACACGCACGCTCGCACGCACGCACGCACATGCGCGCCAAGGCTGTTTTTAACACGTAGTGCAGCTCCATGTGCTGGAGGTGCTCTGTTTTTACAGGGTTGACAAAAAATATACAGGCGAGTGAAGCTTTTTACTTACTCCCCTACCTGCTCCCCAGACATAAACGTGCACCCTTTATTGCTCAATTAAGTGTCAGTTAGTCTTGGACTCATTATGTCCTGGAACCTGATCCAATTTGAACACTACTGCTGGACTTGTTTTCTCAGTCCAGCAGATCTACAAAGGTTCCAGTTACCTCTCTAATCTCATTGAAACGCTTTACCCACGGCCAGCGGATGCCTGCTTGTCCGACAAAAAGCCCTCACACTAATAGCAACATGCTTTGCGTTTATGGTTTGCACGTGTGTGCGTGTGTGTAGGTGTGTGAACGATATGTGTACATACACAAAGAATATGTAGCACTGCTGTGGAATACTGTGCACAGGGCCAGAAAATATGATGTTAAAAAATGTGGGTGTGCACCAGCAATGTGTTTGTATGTGGGAATAATATCCTATTTTACAGGATGCATTTCCCCTTAATATGCCCATCCTAATGTAATTTGGCGTCTATGGAGTGTCTGTGAGCTGGGCTGGGCTGGTGTGCGTTTCTGCTGACTGCTCCTGTTTTCTGTTTATATGGATGAGTGGCTCTCTGGGAGAGCATTATGCATTGTTTTTACCGTTTAAAGATTATGTGCACAGTGGCGGCAGAAGCATTAGACAAACAAGGAAATATGTCTTTGATTAAAATATCTTTTATCTCTTTATTGATTAAAAGGCTTAGTTTGGTAATAGAAAGTCTCTGCCTCCCTCCCTTAGAGTATTTTTTTCTTCTCATGCATTTTGTTTCTTTTTTTTTCTGTCTCATCTCTGTTGCTGTGTATTTGAGATTAATACAGTTGTATTTAATTAAAGAAGTTTATTCTCGCATGAAATATTTCCACAAATGCGTTTCCCCCTTATTCTTAATACTCTCTAATTTTAGCATTAATTCAGTCTATATTGTGTCACAACTCCTTCTATTTATGGAGAAAAAGTAAGTAAATGGTAGTTGTGGTAATTTTCCTTTTGTTGGATGGTTTACTATGTGAATTTCCTTTCTTTAATATAAACTGAACTTGAGTAACATTGTGGAGCTGGGAGGAATGGTCCCCTTTTTTTCAGTTAAAAAAATCTGAAAAATATAGCATGCATTTGTATTCAGACATCTCGAGTTGAAGCTTTGCTGAAACACCTATTGCCCCAGGTAAAGCTGCAAGTCTTTCGGGGTTTGTCTCGATTGGTTTTGCACATACTTCCTCAAGCTCATTCAATTTTTTACGAAGATCATCTGTGAACATCTGTTTTCAAATCTCACAGATTCAGTGCAGTGTTAGTTTTCTATCACAGAGCTTTGCATGTTGACATAATAAGCATTTTCCTCTGTAAGTTATATGTA